TTCTGTGTTGGCAACGATTCCCGAGATCGAGGATTTAAAGCCGGAACAAAGAGAATGTTTGGTGAATTTTTGCCAAGGAGAAAGACGTTATTGTTCTTCTTCCTACAGGAATTGGGAAAAGCTTAATATACCAGTTAACCCCGTTAGTGGTGCATTATATCAGTGCTGTCAAGAGATAAAAAAAAAAATCGAGAGATTAGTTAATTATGATCTGTATTTAATTAATCTCTTTTTTAATCTCACCTAAAAATTGCTGAGAAAAGCTTCAACTTGAGGTATTTTCATTTAAGTTCATTATTACTTTATTGTGGCAGATCAAAAGACTCATATAGAACAAAAAGTGACTTTATAAAGTAATTTATTGTTTAACAAACTTTAATTCAATTCAATTCAATCTTTATTAAGAACACATGATATCTGGTTCATAGTATAAAAAAAACAAACAATAAACTTAAACTTTTATCATCATTATTATTACTGTTACTAATCTGCAGAAATAAACTCAACTTTACAACATATAAATATAATGACTCTAGAGCCACATCAGCTGTTTGACATTATAATGTGTTTAATGCAGATTTGTACAAGTCTTACAGAAAAGAAACTTAAAACCACATGACTCATTTGCATAAACTAAGAAAAAAACAAAAACGCTCTTGTGTCGCTGATGCGGTTAAACTTCTGTGGGACTAAAGGACACGACTCTGTGGAATAGAGGAATGTTCTGCTGATGGTGAGTCTGTTCTGTGTCTGTGTCGTGATGTTTTCAGATCAGACATGTGCAGGTTTATCACAGATGAGGCGAGAACGGGAATGAAAATTACAATTCTTTGCGGGAGCGATGTGTTGTCGTCCCAACAACACATAAAACCAGATTTTATAATAAGACAACTCACGTACAGAAACAGTAAAGTTAGAGATTAAAAATTTGATTAACGCGATTAAAAAACACGCTAAATATGACTGTAATTAATTCATCGCAATTAACGCAATAATTTGACACCCCTACATTATATACATCACGACCAAACAGCAGCGATTGGTTAAATAAAAAAAGTACCCGCCTACCGTCGAGCAAACGAACCCTAATGCTGCGAGGTCAGACAGTTTCCCCGAAGTGAAACCGGCTGATGAATCAGGCTACTAACTCCTATTCCTACCAAAGATTTAACCTGCGCGTAGTTTAAGGAAAGTGCACATTTGTCACCACAAGAGGCGCAAGTGGTGTATCAGAAGTATGAGCAAAGTGAATGTACTTGACTGTAATGAGAGCTATTTCTGAGTCATACTTGTATTTGACTTCCCACTCAGAGTTTTTTGAAGCTCAGTTCACATTTTATCTGATGTGTAGGGTGAAAAAAAACACACACATTTAAATAATAAAAGATTCACAGAGGATCGTTCTGAGGCACTCTCCTCAGATCCACCACTGACACAGAGTCACCTTCATCCCATATTCCAACCCCAGGAAACAGAGGCTCGGTGAAGGAGGAGCTGGTGGTGTGGAGGTGGCGCAGTTCTCCTTCCGAGCTGACCTCAAAGAAGGACAGAGATCCAGCCTCAGAGTCCAGGAACACAGACACTCGACCTGAGACCCGGAAGGACGAGGAGGAGGAGGCAGAGGAGAAGAGGAGGTCTGTTTCGCTGTTGTTGTGATAGAAACAGTAATGTCCATTAAAGACCCTCAGACTCCAGGACTGATCGTTGCCTCCAAACCTACACTCCCGTCTCTCTCCTCTCCGTCTGATTCCTCTGTAACTCACTGCTATTTGAGCCGACCTTCTCCACTGCACCTCCCAGTAACAGCGCCCCCTCAGGCCAGTGCAGCTCAGGACCTGATGGTAGTCCGTAAATCTGTCCTCATGATCTGCATACTGCTGCTTCTCTGTCACACGGGTCACTGTCCGTTTGTCCTCAGACAGTTTGAGTTCTCTGTGAGTTGTGTTTGGATCCAGAGAAAACTCAGAGGAATCTGAGGACACAAACACATGACGTCACTTCCTGTTCCAGAGTATCTCACTAGTTCTTCGTTTTCTTAATGTTGAAAGCTGTAAAAATGTATATGAAAAACATCCTCAACGTGTTTTTTTCAAGTCTATCAGAGGGGAACGATCAGGGACTTCTAACATTGCAATATAAAACATTTATAATGATAATAATGAACTGCTCCCATTCTCTTTGCCTGCAGCCAGCGAGCAGGGGCCCTAGTGTTGGAACTGTGGGCTTTTCGGAAGAATTTAGCGCGTGTCCTAGGAAAAAAGCGCAAGAGATGGAAGGGTCCGAGTATAGGCCACTTTATTATTAGTATTAGCAGGTCACGGAGATTCAAGTTGATTACCAAGTACAACTGTCACCCCGGGACGACGCCTCTGACAAAACCCGGAAAGTGAGGTAGCTTTATACTAGCCATCTGACCGAACATTAACTTGTTGATTTAGCGTATACAGCAAGAAAATTTACAATAATGCTGACCCGGTACACTTTATCATGGGTGGGTACATGCCACGGAGTCCACATCCAGTAGTTTTCTGCTTTGTAACATTTCAAAGTACAAAATAACATGTCTCTTTTATAGAACCATAGATAGACAGCATGTTTTCATCCCTGTTGTCGTTCCAAGGTACAGAATATTGAGTGAATCAGCATGATCAACACAGAATAATTCTCTCAGAACTGACCAGTCAGATTGACTGACAGGCAGAAGCCAAAGTTATTGCATTGGTTTAGTCCCACCCATGTCTTCTCGCAGGTTGGCAGTTACTGGCGTGGCCACCAGCTGGCACCTGATTGTATCTATTGATGGCTAGTTTGACCGGTGTTGAACTTTTGGCTGAGTTAAAATAAAACAAAATAAATGAGAATTTGCTTTCATTTTGACTTTTGATTTGAACTAATAATAATGGGATTAATTTTTGTATAGACGATGTGTCTGATGAAGGTAACAGAGGTGAAGTATAACACTGTGGTGAGCATTATAATGCAAATGAAACAGAAAACGCACAACACAACCACAGTTATAGAGGGATTATCAGACTACGTCACGTACGTTTGCGCTGTTGCACTGTGCATGTCTCCTGCAGAAAGAGTCTCTGTCCTGTCTGAATCATGTTACTGTCTTGGAGGATTTCAGCAGATTTCAAACTCTCCCAGGGGTCGGGGGTTGGCAGTTGATCCTTTGTAGTATACATAGCGAATTTACTCACAAAACCAAATTCCCAAACTCAGGTGTCCTTGACGCAAGAATGAAGCAAGTGACTCACAAACATTTAAGCATCAAACTAGCGACGTTTGATGTAGTTTAATCCGTTAATTGGGGTTAATGAGTGTCTGAAGGCATCGTCCCATGGGCATGGTTCACCACTACAAGTTTGCTCAAATCACAAAGATTATGAAATACAGAGACTCACACTTCCTCAGACCTGGGACCATCCACTGTTCTCCAGCAGGATCCAACCTGAAACACACAAGTCCAGTTTAGACCAGACCAGAGACCAGGATCTGGACCGACCATGGACCAGAGACCCACTGAACCAGGACCCTCACCTGAGAGACTGCAGGGGGCAGTGGGGGTCGTCCCGTAGAGCGGTCAGGAGCTCTGCTGAGGGTCCTGGATGGTTGTAGCTGAGGTCTAACTCTCTCAGGTGGGAGGAGGCGGAGCTCAGAGCTGAGGCCAGAGCAGCCCCGCCCCTCTCTGAGACCAGACATCCAGACAGCCTAAAGACACAGAATTACACTCATGTGGACACAAAGGGGCAGAGTGCATCATGGGAGCGTCTCACCTGAGAGTCTCCAGTCTGCAGGGGGCGCTCTTCAGTCCAGAACACAGCAGCTCCACTCCTGAGTCCTGGAGGTCGTTGTTAGTGAGATCCAGATGTGTGAGACTGGAGGAGCTGAGGACTGAGGCCAGAGGAGCACAGCTGTGAGGAGACAGACCACAGCCACAAAGACTGAGGACAGAGAGGGACATTAGAGACTAGAACCTCCACACAAGAGTTTAAATACAGTCTGGACTCACAGGACTTTGGTGGAGGCTTTGACCACCGGCAGCAGACCAAGGAGACCTGTCTCTGAGCCCTGGTATTTCCTCAAGTCAAACTCCTCCAGGTCTGAGTCTGAGGACAGTAAAAGGAAGGACAAAGCCGACCACTGAGCAGGAGAACTTAACCTGGAGAGCAGTCCTTCTCTCATGTATCTCTGTATCTGCTGCACCAGACTTTGGTCGTTCAGTTCGTTCAGACAGTGGAGCAGGTTCAGACTTCTCTCTGCAGACAGACCCTTTTCATTCAACTTCTGTTTGATGTACTTTACTGTCTCCTGATTGGTCTCTTCACTTCCTGTGTGAGTCAGCAGACCCTGCAGCAGCCTCTGATTGGTCGGCAGAGACAGTCCCAGGAGGAAGCGCAGGAACAGGTCCAGGTGTCCGTTTGGACTCTGTAAGGCCTGGTCCACAGCAGAGTGGTAGAGATTTCTCAGTCTAGTCTTTCTTTTAAACAGTTTTGGAAGATGTGACGTCATGTGGACCTCCAGGAGGTTCTCTCCAGAGCTGAAGAAGGTCTGATGGACGTGAAGAGCAGCCAGAAACTCCTGCACACTCAGATGGATGAAGCAGTAGACCTTGTCCTGGTACAGGCCTGGCTCCTCTCTAAAGACCTGTGTGAACACTCCGGAGTACACTGAGGCCGCTGCAGCGTCCAGCCCACACTCGCTCAGGTCACTCTCGTAGAAGATCAGGTTTCCTTTCTGCAGCTGCTCAAAGGCCAGTTTTCCCAGAGACTTCACCATCTCCCTGGTCTCTGGAGTCCAGTGAAGATTACCCCTGATCCCTGGTGATACTTGATTTTCTGGACTTTGGCCTGCACCACCAGGAAGTGGACGTACATCTGTGTGAGAGTCCCGGGAAGCTCTGGTCTCTTTGTTTGTTCCAGAAGTTTCTGTAGAACTGTGGAGAGGATCCAGCAGAAGATCGGCATGTGGCTCATGATGTGGAGGCTGCGGATGCTCTTGATGTGGGAGATGACGGCTGTGGCCTGATTTCTGAACCTCTTCCTGAAGTACTGCTCCTTCTGTGGGTTGGTGAACCCTCTGACCTCTGTCACCATGGAGACGCACTCAGCAGGGATCTGATTGGCCGCGGCGGGGCGCGTGGTTATCCAGAGGAGAGCGGAGGGAAGCAGGCTCCCCCTGATGAGGTTCACCAGCAGCACGTGCACTGAGGTGGACTCTGTGGGGTCGCTCAGGACTTGGGTTCGACTGAAGTCCAGAGGAAGTCTACACTCGTCCAGACCGTCAAAGATGAAGAGCACCTGGAGCTGTTGGAAGCTGCAGAGATGTTTGGATGGACTGAAGAAGTGGTGCAGCAGCTCCACCAGGCTGAACTGTGTGTCTCTGAGCACATTGAGCTCTCTGAAAGTGAACGGGAACAGCAGCTGGAGGTCCTGGTGGGCCCGGCCTTCAGCCCAGTCCAGACTGAACTTCTGAGTCAGCACTGTTTTCCCCACGCCGGCCACGCCCTTCGTCAACACAAATCTGATTGGCTCTTGTGAATGTGGGCGGGGTTTAAAGAGCTCTTCACATGTGATGGTCTCTGGAGCGGCCGGTCTCCTGGACGCCGTCTCCATGAGTCTGACCTCATGTTCCTGGTTGACCTCTGAGGCTCCGCCCTCTGTGATGTGGAGCTCTGTGTAGATCTGGGTCAGGGGGGCGGAGTCTCCTGCTTTAGCCACGCCCTCAAACACACGACTGAACCTCTGCTGAAGATGCTTCTTAATTTTATCTCTACAACCTCCAACAGTGTTTCCTGAATAAAGACATAAAGAACTGTCAACTCAAGCTCCTTCTGATTTGTGAAAACTTCTTTACAGCAGTGTCACAGAGTTGTGAGTAATTAAAGAAACTATAGGATTAAGTGTGATGCCACATCCAGGCACAAGACGCATCAGCTAATTGAAAGCAATGGACCTGTTTATAATTTTCAACATTTTTTATAATGATCCATCTTGCAAAAAGTCATTAAATGCTTGTAACAAAGTGTACAAAGCTGTAGTAAGAAGCTAGGCTTTCACAACACTGTTGATGAAGGGCAGTTAGAATTACCAGTGTGTGTATGTCTCACTACATTATGGTAGATTATTACTACATTATTGAAATATTTTATACAATTTGTGGATAAAAAACTGATTTTGATTTTGAAAGACTATTGTTTCTTGTTTAAAAAAACAAGCTTGAAATTAGCTATAAAGAAGGGACAGCTGTTCCTCAGGTGGATAAAACTCCCTCCTAATGTACGGGTCATAGTACTTTCTGTGAGCCTCAAACACCTGTAGACTTTTGTTACTGTGAAGTCAAGTCTGGTGTGGTCTGTTCCTCAGATGGACAGTAACAGAGTTCTTACTGTTCTGCAGGCGCTGGGCCAGCTGCTCCTGGTCCATCCTCCTCAGGAAGTCCAGGGTGATGTTCAGAACCTCTCTGCTGCTCTGCTCCTCCTCCTCACTCTCAGAGCATTCTGGGTAATCTGAGGCCAGGAGCCTGTGGAGCCTCTGCAGCTGCTCTTTGACAAAAGTCAGGACGTCCTCCTCCAGATGCTGGAACAGAACAATAAGAGAAGAGTTTTAGTCAAAGAGAGCACCTGAGGAGCACCCAGAGAACCCCACACATGCTGCGCTCGTGGGGTACTCACCCTGAATATGGCGTCCAGCTGCTCCTTTGGGCCTGGCTCCCTGTCAAACAATAAACTCATCATCATTTATTTATTCCAGACTCATGGTCCATAAAAGAACAGAATAAGACAGAGACAAGAGTAAAACAGGGTTATAAAAGACAGATCAGTGTTTCCATAAAGAGCAGTGTTACTGCACAGAACTAAACCTGACACTCACCAACATCACCACCACAGAGTTCACAGACTCATTTAGGCCACAGATGGATTTATACACCAGGTTTGTCATGAGAGTCTGAAAAGTTCACATGAGCCTGACAGAACAGGAGACTGGAACTATTGGCCCTGGACTTTTCAGCAGCATTCTGAGGACATCATTAGAAGATACTTTGAGCTTTTGCAGTGTGTCCTTCTTATATTTGCGCCACAGTGGGGCTGTATCATCGACTATATAAAGAAGTGTACTGAGGGAATGTGACATCAACCTGAGGGTTTGGCTCCAGCCAAATGAATCCAATCAAGGCTAATCTGAAGGCCAGAACCATATATGGAATTCTCAGCATGTGTTTCATAGCAACCAAAGAGCCAAGCAAGAGCGGTGGTGTTGAAGGTAGCAGTGCTTTTAAAATTTTATTTATTTTGATTTAACCAGGAAAAAATCCCGCACTGCTGGTTTGTGAGGGGACGGGTGCTTAGCAACACTGTCAATCAAACTTGTGGGGCTAGTGAGAGTGACTCTGATGAAAGAAGGCACCTGATTGGTCTGTTATTAATGTTCATATATTTGTTGTGGTGCAGGTGCGCTCCCCCGATCCACTATAGGTGAGTCAGGTGTTCCAATCACTTCCATGGCCACACGTGTTTAAAATCAAGCACGTAGGCTTGCAGACTGTTTCTACAAACATTTGTGAAACTCTCAGGAGCTCAGTGAATTCCAGCTTGGTATTGTGATAGGATGAAACCTGTGCAACAAGGCCAGTCTTGAAATTTCCTCACAGTTAAATATTCCACAGTCAACTGTCAGTGGGGTCATAACAAAGTGGAAGCAATCTGATGGACGAGTCTGGGTTTGGCAGTTGCCAGGAGAATGGTACTTATCTGACTGCACTGTGCCAAATGTAGTTTGGTGGAGGGGGTATTACCGTGTGGGGTTGTTTTACAGGAGCTGGGCTTGGCCCCTTAGTTACAGTGCAAGGAACTCTGAATGCTTCAAGCACACCAAGAGATTTTGGACAATTCCATGCTCCCAACTTTGTGGGAACAGTTTGGAGATGGCCCCTTCTTCTTTCAACATGACTGTGCACCAGTGCACAAAGTAAGGTGCATAAAAACATAGATGAGAGAGTTTGGTGTGGATGAACTTGACTGGCCTGCACAGAGTCCTGACCTCACCCCGATAGAACACGTTTGGGATGAATTAGAGCGGAGACTACGAGCCAGGCCTTTTCATCCAACATCAGTGTGTGACCTCACAAATGTGCTTCTGGAAGAGGGGTCAAAATTCCCATAAACACACTCCTGAACCTTGTGGACAGCTTTCCTAGAAGCTGTTATAGCTGCTGCTAAGGCTGGACCAGCGTCATATTTAAACCCTACGGAACAAGAATGAGGCATCATTTAAATTCATATGTGAGTCGATGCAAGTGAGCGAATACTTTTGGCCATATAGTCTGTAGGTGATGTATGGTGCGTGAGGACACAACTACAGTGTGCATTGTTGGGAGTCTGTCTGCCAATCATGGGATCACTGGCCTAATGTTCTACCAGCTGAGCTACTGTCGCCCCTGTCCAGATTACAAAAGCCTTACCTCTGGTCTTCAGGAGGATCTTCTCTAAAGTTTGGAGGAACGTCTTTGGAATCATCATGTTTCAGAGACCGAGAGCTGGGAGCAGGTTTAGGTCTGTGCTTAGACCCACGGTCAGGTCCAGGTGGGTCCATGTTGTAGATGCTGGAATCAGAAGAAGAGTCAGTTTGAACAGAACATACAGAGATGTCTCCTGTTACACTCAGAGGTCTGGTCTGTCCCCTCCCACTTAAACTTAAGTAGTAGTAATATTATTAAAGGAAAATATCATTGTTTTGTTTGGAATTGAACTAGGACTATTTTATCAATGACATTGATTTGCAGGTAATAATTAATACATTTTAATAAAAAAAAAAAAAGATATTGGATAATTTCTCACGGCACGTGTGCCGTGGCACAGTGGTTGAAAATCACTGGTCTAGATGCTTAAATTTATTTTATAATTTTGTGCTGTGCCACAGCTGCCCTGGGACGAATTGACAAAACCCAGGCTGTGAATCTGGCACACACACACACACACAGAGAGAGAGACACACACATGCATGCACACACGCGCGCACACACACACACACACACACACACAGGACTAGCTCTGCCCTTCACTTGGGTGTCTGAGCTGTACGTTGTAGCCTCAGGAAGATTAGTGTTATTTATTGGAATGGTTGTGTTTGTTCAGGACTGGGCGATGTGGCCACAAAAGTTATCACATGTCCTCCAGCTCCTTCTGGGGGACCCCGAGGTGTTCCCAGGCCAGCTGAGACACATAGTCCCTCCAGCGTGTCCTGAGTCTTCCCCGGGGCCTCCTCCCGGTGGGACATGAACACCTCCTGAGGGAGACGTCCAGGGGACATCAGAACAAATGTCCTCCCCTCAGCCGCTCCTCTCCACATGGAGGAGCAGTGGCTCTACCCCGAGCTCCTCCCTTGTGACCAAGCTCCTCATCCTATGTCTAAGGCAGCGCCCAGCCACCCTGCGGAGGAAACTCATTTCGACCACTCGTATTTGTGGTCTCATCCTTTTTGTATTTACCCAGAGCTCAAGACCAGAGGTGAGGGGAGGAAGGAAGAATGATGGTAAATCGAGAGCTTCGCCTTTGGGCTCAGCTCCTCTTCACCACAACTGTCCGATACAGCGACCGCATCACTGCCAATGCTGCACCGATCCGCCTGTCAATCTCACGCTCCGTCCTCCCCTCACTTGTGAACAAGACCCTGAGATACTTGAACTCCTCCACTTGAGGCAAAGACTCTCCACCCAACCAGAGAGGGCAAGACGCCTTTTTCCAGTCGAGATTCATGGCCTCAGATTTGGAAGAGCTGATCTTCATCCCAGACGCTTCACACTCGGCTGCAAACCGCCCCAGTGCACATTGCAGGTCCTGGTCTGATGAAGTCATCAGGACAACATCATCTGCAAACAGCAGAGATGATCCTGTGGTCCCCAAACCGGACCCCCTCCGACCCCTGACTGTGACTAGAAACTCTGTCCATAAACACAATGAACAGAACCGGTGACAGGGGCAGCCCTGGCGGAGTCCAACATGCACCAGGAACAGGTCTGACTTACTGCCGGCAATGCGAACACAGCTCCTGCTCCGGTCATACAGGGACCGGACCCCATACTCCCAGAGCGCCCCCCACAGGACACCACATGGGACACGGTCGAATGCCTTCTCCAGATCCACAAAGCACATGTGGACTGGTTGGGCAAACTCCCATGAACCCTCGAGCACCCGATGGAGAGTGTAGAGCTGGTCCAGTGTTCCACGACCAGGACGAAAAACCACAAACATTTTCAATTATTATTATTTTGGAGTTCTTGTTTATACTAGTATACAAACTAAAGCTAAGGCGGTATGTCCTGTTATTTACACACAAGTACTTCAACTTTATCTGAACACTAATCCAGTTTATTTATAACATAATCAGAAATACAATTCGAAACGGAGCTGTTAAGGCAAATTTTAGCTGAATTTATAGAGGTAATTTCTGCTTTATAATTCTGTTTACTATGAGTTTTACTGAGTCTGTGCATTGGTTATATTTTCTATAGGAGGAACGTAGATTAACATGATTACAGGTAAAAACAAATATAACAAAACCTCAGTATGTCCCATAGTGGGGAAATTTCAGTGTTGTAACAATAACAGTACAATATAACTCTTATTTTATAGAACACTTTTAAAAAAATGACGTTTACAAAGTGCTGTGCGCTCAGCATACAACAATAATACAAAAACACAATAACATGCAGGAAGTATACAAAAAGAGACTGAAGCAGAGCGCTGTTAACAGAATAATTCAAATATGATCAAACAATTCAATTAATAATAATAATAAATACATGTATTTAATGAAATAATAAAATCAAGTTAAATCCAGATTTTCAAAAAAGGCTAATCGTTAAAATTAAATTTTTAGAAGTGACATAAAAGATCCTCAGCAGGTCAATACAACATGAGGTGCCGGACCCAAAAAGGCTTGATCACTGTTCGTCCAGAGCCTCGACTTTGGAACAGCTGACAGGGACCTGCCTCGGACTGCGACAGGGGCAAACACATTTTTTGGATCCCATTCAAAAGTTGAAGGGGGCGCTGCAGAGTCATTTTTCAATATTTTTTCTTGGGGACTTTAAATTACAACATTTTTCACCAACCTTGAAGTTTTTCCATTTGTACTAATTTTGTCTGCTTATTCTTTTTAGCTGAAGGTGCAGCAGAGTCTAAGATCATATTATTGGTTTGAGAAAAGAGTTAAAAATCAAAGAAGCTGAGGTAAAAAGCTGGAGGAGAAGTTAAAAACATGGGAACAATAAGATAAACCATGCTTAAAGGATTATAAGGAGCTAAAACAACACCAAATAAAATTGCTATGTGCTATGACACACAAATATTTTTTATAAGAACGGTAATAGAATTTAATTACAAACTCCAGGTCAACATATTACAACTTGTGTTTGTTTGCTGCTTATTCAGAGATTTTAAATTTCACTAAAATTGTGTGCAAATAGATTTGTCTTTGTAAAACATTTTTTCTTGACTTCTCAGCTTTGGAGAGTCGCAGGTGTGATGTCAAAAAAGTATCAAATGTTTTTATATCAGTATTATTTTAAAAAACACGGCTTGGCTCAGTTAATTTTCTCTCTGTACAAAAGAATGAAGAAAAACTGAACCTGTTTTATATCATTAGAGTCAGAGAAGTGTTCTCCTCAGATCCAACACAGACAGAGGAACCATTTCTCCACACTGAAAACCCAGGAAACAGAGGCTCAGTGAAGGAGGAGCTGGAGGTGTGGAGGTGGAACAGTTTTCCATCAGAGAGAACCTCATAGAAGGACAGAGATCCAGCCTCAGAGTCCAGGAACACAGACACTCGACCTGAGAAACGGGGGACGGCGGAGGAGGAGGAGAGGTGGGTTTGTCTGTTGTTGTGATATAAATAGTAATTCCCCTCATGGATCCTCAGATTCCAGGACTGATCGTTGCCTCCAAACCAACACTCCTTATTTGGTCCTCTCCGTCTGATTCCTCTGTAACTCACTACTACATCAACCATCGCTCCGCCCCACTGCACCTCCCAGTAACAGCGCCCCCTCAGGCCAGTGCAGCTCAGGACCTGACGATAGTCTGTAAATCTGTCCTCATGATCTGGATACTGCTGCTCCTCTGTCACACAGGTCACTGTCCGTTTGTCCTCAGACAGTTTGATGTTTCTGTGAGCTGTGTTTGGATCCAGAGAAAACTCACAGGAATCTGAGGACACAAACACATGACATCACTTCCTGTTCCTGAGAATCTGAAAAGTTTTTCTATTTAATTTATATTTTAAATGTGTAAATGTCTCTAGACATATTTTTAGCTCAAATCACATTAATGTTGGAATAATGGAATCTGAGGACACAAACATGATGTTCTTTGACTATATTGTGAGCTGTAATAATCCATTGTAAAAAATAACAATCATGTCTCAAGTCTCGTACATCTCGTGTATGTATTTTTAGAATCACATGAATGTTTCCTCTGTAACTGTGAAGATTTAAAGTCTGATAAAGTGACATAATGTTAATGTTCCCATGAACTGAATGAAATACAGAGACTCACACTTCCTCAGACCTGGGACCATCCACTGTTCTCCAGCAGGATCCAACCTGAAACACACAAGTCCAGTTTAGACCAGACCAGAGACCAGGATCTGGACCGACCATGGACCAGAGACCCACTGAACCAGGACCCTCACCTGAGAGACTGCAGGGGGCAGTGGGGGTCGTCCCGTAGAGCGGTCAGGAGCTCTGCTGAGGGTCCTGGATGGTTGTAGCTGAGGTCTAACTCTCTCAGGTGGGAGGAGGCGGAGCTCAGAGCTGAGGCCAGAGCAGCCCCGCCCCTCTCTGAGACCAGACATCCAGACAGCCTAAAGACACAGAATTACACTCATGTGGACACAAGGGGGCAGAGTGCATCATGGGAGCGTCTCACCTGAGAGTCTCCAGTCTGCAGGGGGCGCTCTTCAGTCCAGAACACAGCAGCTCCACTCCTGAGTCCTGGAGGTCGTTGTTAGTGAGATCCAGATGTGTGAGACTGGAGGAGCTGAGGACTGAGGCCAGAGGAGCACAGCTGTGAGGAGACAGACCACAGCCACAAAGACTGAGGACAGAGAGGGACATTAGAGACTAGAACAGAGCTTCTCAAAGTGTGGGGCGCGAGACATTTCAGGAAATGTGTGCACATTAAGCGTGGTGGACATGTTTTCAGCAACAAACGTCCAGCGCCAATTCAGGATTAATCTCTACAAGAGCAAAGTAGAAGTTGAACAGCAGGTCTCTGTCCCCTCATGTCAAATATTGTCTCAGGTTTAGGACCTCGGCTTTGACCACTGCTCTGTGTGCTCTTTCCCTCCTTCACCTGTTCTCCCTCCTTGCACCTCACCCCCTCCAGGCTTCGTCCTCTCTGTGGATTTGTCCCATCTCCCCCTCCCTACCCAAGTCTTGTAAAACATTCTCTGCTAACTGACTCTTCATTTGGCTACACAAAGCATTTGAATAGTCTATCTGAAAGTGTCGCGTGTGCATTTAGAATATGGCCTCTTTTCTGCTTTGATCCCATGTGCTTATCTTGAAACATGTGAAATATGAGCGGAGTATTATGAGTCATCCCCACCAAATTTTGTATGTCTGCGACAAATAAATCATTATCATTCTCTACAAAACTTCTAAGGGGCGCTACTGCATTCAGTTTTGTATTTTCTCATACCAATCTGTTCATATTATTATTATTATTATTATTATTATGTATTTATTTATTTATTTTCACATTAAATAGCTTAAGAGCGAGAATTTTAACAACTGATTCAAATTTCACTGAAATTAGAGCCATATGTGCAAATGGGAGTAATTTAAAATTACTGAAATTTTGGGCAAGTTTTGTTGCTTCACTGTTCAGAGACCATAAGACTTGTGTCAAAATGTTGAATAATTTTTGATGTCCCACCCCCTGAGATAATTGTTACCAAATCTACTGATATATCGGCCAACCAAGGTTACAGTTGCACCAGGCCCCAACTATAACATTAGTTATATATTTGGAAATACGGCTGTCTGAAGGCCTCGGTCTCGAGGGTGCAGTTCGTCACAGAGTTTTACGCACAAGAAGCATTGTGCTCTGGGTGAATTGTATTTAAACTCTAAATGCCCTCTTGCACATAATTTTCTCCATTTTGTTTCCTTTTTTTTATGAATGCTCTAGAACAGGGGTCGGCAACCCGCGGCTCCAGAGCCGCATGCGGCTCTTTAGCACACCCCTAGTGGCTCCCTGGAGCTTTTTCAAAAATGAGTGAAAATGGAAAAGGAATGATTTTTGTTGTTGTTGTGTTTTAATATGGTTTCTTTAGGGGTAAAACCCTCGTTCATCTCAGCTGTGTGCAAATGCAACACATGAAAACTGTTTCAGCAGAACGAACAGATGAGCTGAAGCGGGGGTGGTGTCCGGTGCCTCCACCTGAGAAGCGCTTTCCCTGAAAAAAATAAACAAACAAAAAAACACATGCGCAGACGGACGCTCAGGATTCACGCTTCTGTCCGGATGCTGCACCAACTCAGAACCAGCCGCGGTCGAGCGCAGAGGACCAGAGCAGCCCGGACCTGTGGTCCACAGCACATTCTCACTTTTCCCGCACGGAACCAGCGCACAGATGAAGCACTGAAGCACTCGGACCCAGTCCTTTGCTCGCTGGTCTTGCTCGCCCCCGTCTGGAACCAGGACATGGAGGACGAAGCCTCCGGACCATCTGACCAACACTGGACCACCAGCCCCGTCTTGAGGAGCTGCTCTGACTGTTCCCGTGTGTTTGGCGCTGCTGCCCGAGCTCAGAGCTTCTGCTCTGATCTGATGTTGCGTACAAAGTTCTACATGCTGCTGTTTTATGAGTGCTCCTATGCACGATCAGAAGAAATGCGACTGCTGCTCTGAATAATCATTGTCGTCAAAGCAACAGGTAAACGTTGGTCGCACTTTCAGCGTCAGCTCCTAAAACTCCGTTTATCTCAGTTTACATGCAAATGTGAAACCGGAGTTTTCCAAAATCTCCACTCTAGCCGGAGTTTTTAGAAAGATTTGTTTTCAGAGGCGAATTCACCGTTTGCGTGTAAACGATGTGAACAAACGAAGGGAAATGTCTCCATTTTTTAAAAATACCCGTGTACGTGTAAACGGGGCCTAAATGACAAAGGAATAAACACTAACCACCCGAGTTCAGTGGCTGTTCAGTTCAGTATGAGAGGGTTGCAAAAGGGGTTTGTGTATCATGATGCTCATTTTGTATTTGTAGCCTACATAGTCATTTTAATAGTAGGGTTATAAAGCTAATATACTGACAGCCTGTGTTGCCTTCATATTAGGCTTATATAAGACTTTTAATTTTTTGCGGCTCCAGGCAGGTTTTGTTTTAGTTTTAGTTTTTTTGGGCCAATATGGCTCTTTGAACATTTTGGGTTGCCGACCCCTGATCTAGAATATTATTCATGTCTGTAGTATTTGGGCCAGCTCGCTCCTCTAATCTGTTAAAAGCCCTCATGTAGGCTCCACACATGAATTTAATTTGCAATCATGTAGCTGGTGTCACGGACATCAACTAATGGGGATCCGAATAAAATCAAAATCAAAAGCACCTCCTATGTGATGATTTTCACTTAAAGAAAAAAAAAATCATTACTGATGAGCTGTTATCTGTACTGTTGTGCTTATTCTTTGACACTTACTTACTTTATTTATTTTAAAATCTGTGAAGCAAAATCTAGTTTAAGAGTTATACAGTCTGAGGAAAGAGAGTGATATTAGAGACTAGAATCATGACAAAGGAGACTCACAGGACTTTGGTGGAGGCTCTGACCACCGGCAGCAGATTCAGGAGAGCTGTCTCTGAGCGCTGGTATTTCCTCAGATCAAACTCCTCCAGGTCTGAGTCTGAGGACAGTAAGAGGAAGGACAAAGTCGACCACTCAGCAGGAGACCTTAACCTGGAGAGCTCTCCTTCTCTCACGTATCTCTGTATCTGCTTCAACAGACTTTGGTCGTTCAGTTCGTTCAGACAGTGGAGCAGGTTCAGACTTCTCTCTGCAGACAGACCCTTTTCATTCAGCTTCTGTTTGATGTACTTTACTGTCTCCTGATTGGTCTCTTCACTTCCTGTTTGAGTCAGCAGACCCTGCAGCAGCCTCTGATTGGTCGGCAGAGACAGTCCCAGGAGGAAGCGCAGGAACAGATCCAGGTGTCCGTTTGGACTCTGTAAGGCCTGGTCCACAGCAGAGCAGTAGAAACCTGCCACATACTTTTTTGTCTTCTTTGTCAATTTGAAATGTTTCTTTGTTTTCTTGGAGCAGTTTTTTCTTTTTGAAATAAGAATCTCAGAGGAGTGTGGTGTCTCCAGCAGGTTCTTTCCAGAGCTGTAGAAGGTCTGATGGACGTGAAGAGCAGCCAGAAACTCCTGCACACTCAGATGGATGAAGCAGTAGACCTTGTCCTGGTACAGGCCTGGCTCCTCTCTAAAGATCTGTGTGTGAACACTCCGGAGTACACTGAGGCCGCTGCAGCGTCCAGCCCACACTCGCTCAGGTCACTCTCGTAGAAGATCAGGTTTCCTTTCTGCAGCTGCTCAAAGGCCAGTTTTCCCAGAGACTTCACCATCTTCCTGGTCTCTGAAGTCCAGTGAAGGTCCTCCCCTGATCCCTGGTGATACTTGATGTTCTGGACTTTGGCCTGCACCACCAGGAAGTGGACGTACATCTGTGTGAGAGTCCGGGGCAGCTCTGGTTCTGTTTGTTCCAGAAGTTTCTGTAGAACTGTGGAGATGATCCAGCAGAAGATCGGGATGTGGCTCATGATGTGGAGGCTGCGGATGCTCTTGATGTGGGAGATGACGGCTGTGGCCTGGTCTCTGAACCTCTTCCTGAAGTACTGCTCCTTCTGCGGGTCGCCAAACCCTCGCACCTCCGTCACCATGGAGACGCACTCAGCAGGGATCTGATTGGCCGCGGCGGGGCGCGTGGTTATCCAGAGGAGAGCGGAGGGAAGCAGGTTTCCCCCTGATGAGGTTCACCAGCAGCACGTGCACTGAGGTGGACTCTGTGGGGTCGGTCAGGACTCGGGTTCGGACTGAAGTCCAGAGGAAGTCTGCACTCGTCCAGACCGTCAAAGATGAAGAGCACCTGGAGCTGTTGGAAGCTGCAGAGATGTTTGGATGGACTGAAGAAGTGGTGCAGCAGCTCCACCAGGCTGAACTGTGTGTCTCTGAGCACATTGAGCTCTCTGAAAGTGAACGGGAACAGCAGCTGGAGGTCCTGGTGGGCCCGGCCTTCAGCCCAGTCCAGACTGAACTTCTGAGTCAGCACTGTTTTCCCCACGCCGGCCACGCCCTTCGTCAGCACAAATCTGATTGGCTCTGGTGAATGTGGATGAGCTTTAAAGAGCTCTTCACGTGTGATTGCGGTCTCTGGAGCGGTCGGTCTCTTGAATGTGGTTTCCAGGAGTCTGACCTCATGTTCCTGATTGACCTCTGAGGCTCCGCCCTCTGTGATGTAGAGGTCTGTGTAGATCTGGGTCAGAAGGGCGGAGTCTCCTGCTTTAGCCACACCGTCAAACACACGACTGAACCTCTGCTGCAGATGCCTCTTCAGTTCATCTCTACAAACTCCAACAGTGTTTTCTGAATAAAAAACATGATATTAAACCCATTATAATAAAACCACAGTATAATGCCCATACCTACTATTTACTGTAAGTAACATGTTTCAATTGCTCAAAATGACACTTTAATAAACCTGAAAACTTGTCAAGTTTATACAATACAGCTGTAGCCTTGAGAGCTAACTAGGAGGATCTGGGACCAGGCTTAAAGTAAATTGTACTATCTCTGTCAAGTCAGAATTCCTCTGAAATATTCCTGTATCAGCTATTTTTCATGTAATAGTTTTTAGTGCTTTGCCCCTTATTTCAGTAGAAATCCTTTTTCACATGAAAGCCACAAATGGCCTTTACCATTCCATAAGTTGCTATCAAGCAGGTCTTACAGAACCTCACTTGCCCAAAAGTTTTTACAAGACGAAAGCACTCATCCACACAACAATAGAATAGAACTGTTTTCTTGTATGTGTTGTTTGGTGGGCTAAGCCTGCCTGAATGAAGTGTGTTAGAGACACAATTCAGTTTTATCTTGTCACAGACAAATAACGCTGTATCCTGTTATTGCCCATTCCACCGTTCAGTCACACCTATCAGAACTCTGGGAGGCAGAGCCTCGTCCCAGACTTTAGTTTCTATGACATATAGAAAAAGTGAGTCTTGTCTCACCAGGCCAATAAAATGGCTTGTCATTTATGATAAAAATAAAAATTCTGATCCTTTGATGTTAAATTGATGTCAAACTGAGTGCTCCATCCTTAACTTGAGGTAATTATTTGTTCATCTTCTCAAGCCTCTGTTTGTGTGTGTGTTCATGTGTAGGTTTGTTGTGGTGATTTATTGTTCCCTAAAAAGCCACAGTATCATTGTTGTGAAGGCACTTACCAAAACTGGAACAGTTCAGCCAGTCCTGTGTGTTGCAACAGTAAACTCCTCCCCTCACTCCCTGAACATCAGTGCTGTGGAGGGTACTATATTCATGTTAAAAACGGTACGCATCAAATACACATTCCTGTTCTCATTTTGACAATGGCAGCCCTTTTGGCATCCAATTCTTTGTTCACACACTGTCATATGTCTTTGTCTTTGTAGATGAATACTGTTGCCCTGACCACGCACAGGGCTGGGTCTCCGTGGGCCTTGGTGACAGCTGCTGTGGGGGAGTTCCTTACTCTGTGAGAGGTGGCCAGCTCTGCTGTGATGGGACCCTCCATGATGGCTATGGGCTCCAGTGTTGTGGAGGCAGGGTTGTTGATCATTCTTTGGTCTGCTGCAGTGATCATGAGAAAGCAGAGGTGCACACATACATTCAGAGTAAGTAAGACTTTAAGCAAATTATTAAAAATGTGTAACTAAGAGTAGAATAAATCTACCGTAGACACATGGGGCAGGAACGAAGGGTCGTTTCCCTTTCCTACCCTCCTGCCGTGTCCCAAAGCACCCGGATACCACCGCACAGATGGGACAGTCAGAGTGTGTGGATGTGAATGTATGTGTGTGTCATTAGACATCTTTGTCATGGCAGATGATGATAAAATACACTCAGGATAGCACTGTTGAGGGCACTGCCAAGCACACAGCAGGCCAATAGACACTCATCATCCCTCTCCATAGACACACAGAACTCTCACACAGACACACACCTAGTCAACAGGGTGCCCTCTGCAGGCTTCACTTAGTGGTGAGTGCCAGAGACAGACACGTGGACTCTATTCATCACACATAAACAATGGCCCCATATGGGCCAGTCTATAGTATTTCATTACCTTCTGCAATCCCACATAGACTTTCTCTCTTTTTAAAAAGTTCCACATAAAAGGTTATTTGGTTAATAAAACAATTTTAAAACCCTTTCACAATTATGTACTGTATGTACTTCATCTCGTTATATCGGTACAAACAGATAAACTCTCTCCAGTGAAGTACTTCACTGGGGTAAGTAACAAAGTAACAAAATATTACTTTTCATAATGTTGTGTTTGTGCTCGTACCACAGTTGAAACTCTATTTTGTTTTTTATTCTCTCTGTGCCTATTGTGCATCCTGGCCTCTGGCCCAGTACCTTTCTTTCCCTAACAATTCTCTCTTTCAAGTCATCATCTTCCCCCTCCTTTATGTGCCCCCTTTCCATCCACTCATCAGTCATTAGCGTTAGCATCCCCATTGAGAACATATGGTATGATGGATCGTAGGGCTAGCAGCACTAGCGAGGCTAAGGGCCATTTGCCGGGTGCATTGCACTGTCGGGGAGCCCTGGGGCCAGCTATGCAACCTCGACCCCACACGTCTGTTTCAAGACACTCGCACTTAGGCACACATGTGCAAACAGCAACACCGATTATGAGAGAAAATACTTAACCTTGGCACCAGTCACTCTCACTGTGTTCTCTCACCATCTTCTTCTAGATTAGTTCTTTTAAGTCATTATGTTGAGACAAAGTTTAGGCTGCAAGAATTGAAAATAAATAACTATTTGTGAAAGTTATAAAGCTGAAAAAATAAATAATAATATTATGAAAGATTTGTTAAATAATAGATTCACCAAAAATCACAGTAGATAAATAAAAGTGTAAAGAACAGTGGAAGAGAGTGAGCACAGGGGGTGGACAGAGGAGCTGTGAAGAACTAGATGGAGCAGATTAAAGGAGGAGTGAAGGGTATCCCATTGTGCCCAGCTGATAGACTAGGTTAGGCTGATGTGATTATGGGGTCCCTGAAGTGCGATCTATCACACATTACCGTCCACACTGTCAACAACCATACACACACACGGCAGGGGAACCGCAATGCCAGGAGACAGCCGTCTGGCAACAGATACCAGCACCGGCTTGAGCGCACACACGCACACACTTACACACTTACATTTACTTATGAGCACATATATGTATGTGCACATAATGTATGGCAAAATATTCAAATGTACAATAATGTACACACCTTTAACAAAGATCAGATAAATATGTCCCAACATGCATTATGCGCTCATACATGTAATCTGGACTATTACATTGGAGTCATCTAATGAAAAATATTTCACCAAACCTGTCAAAAACAATCACAACCAACAAACGCAGGGCAGTCAGCAGTACTTCTTAAATCTGTTTTCTTGGGCTTCAGAAAATGTAACCACAGCAACCTTCATTTAAAGTCCATGAACTCACCATAACATGATCAAAACATGTAACTCTACAACATTATCATTAGCAAAAAGATACATAGTAGATCTACTCTACTGTATATTAGGTACATGGTACTGTTGGTACTGTTACCTGTGTTATTTTGAGCACAGTAATATTTATATGAACTGATCTGAAGTGACATTGATGAGTGAGTGCTGCAGCTGCGTCTGTGTCACTGACGTGCTGCTTTCTCTCTGTGGCCACTGTGCATGTGGGTTTCTTTAGAGGTTAACATCTATATAACATTAGTGAATCATCAGCAGTACATTCCACAGGCTCAAGAGCAACTTTCCACAAGTTTTTGTCTCAGTTATGCAGTCTAACACCTTCTCTCATAGCTCTGCCATGAGACTTTAAAGGACTTTCATTTTGCTTTCAAGATTAAGCAAAGTTTATTTTCTGATATGGGTACCTAAGTTTGCTCCTGTGTTATAGTTTGATTGAACTTTTAAGCTCGTCATTTGCCTCTCTTTCTTTTCCTCTAAATTTGTAGTTTAGATGTTTTGCTTCGACTTAGGTGGGATTAGAAAATATTTGTGCATGTTGTTATGTCTTTGCCCTCCCCNCAGGAAACACCCAAACCATAAAAAAAGTGCGACTTATAGTCCAAAAAAACGGTATGATTGATTGATACTGAACCCACATCGTGTCACCACACAAGTCATAATTCCACTCAAAACTGTGCAGTGTTTCCCACAGATTCTGGGAGACTGTGGTGGAAAGATTTTAATAATTTCTTTTATACAATTTGTAGAGAATAAATGATGTTTGTTTTGCTGATATTTAATCTTAAAACTGTCCTTTTAGCCCAGTATAGTTACTTTTAAATGTCTATGATGAGACAATGGGCAACAAAGTGTGATTTTGTGATGCTGATGTAAAGTCCAGGTTGTTTTTAGACTCTGTGGGGCCACCATAGTCTCCTCTAATGATAAACCCTGATGTTTACACTCCTTTAGTCCATTTCTATATGACATTTCAATGGCAAAACGTTTTATCATTTTATTCTGTATTTACATCCAAAATTGTGCTTCTAATAAAATCTGTCCTTCCTTTGAACAGCCTCCGCTCAGATGCATTGACCTTTGACCTGTGCCCTCCAGGGCTGGTGTGGTGACTGGGGGCACTGGAGCGATGTCTGAAAGGAGGAGCATGGAGGGAGCTACAGCCCAGAGCTTCAGGCCTGGCGAGCTCTGTCTGTGGAAACCTGGCGGTGATAACGAGCGGTCAGAGTTTGTCGGCGGTGTACGATTTAACACACTTCAGATCCAA